ATCAGAAGTGGACGTTATAGACAGAGAAGACATTTGTGGAATGTTATCCTCTTAAGAAGTCATGTTTGAAAGATAGTACAACCTACTTCGAACAAAGTACTGAAAAAGGAAGCCTACTCTAACAAGTTGACTTTAACCAACAACTGCTTCACACGCATGACAGAGAAGACACAAGATTCAAGGTGAAGAGCTCAGTCTAACAGATATCTTTTTAAAGAGCCTTTAAATAGAAGATCATTAAAAGGAAGAATTCAGAGGATAGGTTACAACGAAAATATCAATCCTACAAAAAACGTTTGGAAAAAAGCAAAGAAAAGCTCAAGCTCAAAGAGAGTATTTGAGAAAAGAAAGAAAAAAGTTAAGCAACACTCTTCGAATTCGTTGTAATATCTACTTACTGTTGTAAGAAGAGAGAAAAGAGAATATTATCCTGAACATATATCCTCTCTACGAGAGTAATCGTCTAAACAACTTGTAAGCAATCAGTTGATTTCAATTATGAGGAGAATTAAAACACTTGTTGTGTAACTCAAGCAAGTTAAGGAAATATAGACAGCGTATCAGAGACTATTAGGATTGTCTAGTACTAGGAGTGTTGAAACTCAATTAGTCTAGGGTAACAAGAGTTATGGAGAGACCAAGACTGATGAAGAATACTGCACAACTACGAGTGAGTGAAACTCAACCAACCAACGTATCGGGGATACCAGGAGTGTCTAGGAATACCAGGATTGATGAGAAAACTCAGTTATAATCTTGTTGAAGATTATAGTGGAACCCTCTATTGATAGAGAACACTGGACGTAGCTCATTTGGAGTGAACCAGTATAAAAATATTTGTGCATTTATTGTTTAACTCTAATTCTATGCTTCTATTATAAATCATGTAGTTGCATTTTAGTTTTGATCACAATAGCTTACCATACTAAATTTTTGTTCATTAAGAGAAAGTTCTTACAAACATTGCAGTGAATATTCTTAATAACATATGAAAAAGTTTTATTGTTTAAAACATTTAAATTTAATTACTTCCTAAAAGTAAATGTGAACTAAGTCATGCACAAATATCACTTTTAACTATAATGAAGCTGATGTGGAGAGTTAATTACTTGGTATTAACAAACTCAATGAAATTTAATTAGCGGATGAAATAAGAAATAGTAAATATTTATCAACGACGAATATAGACAACAAAATTTATTAAAATCCAAACACAAAATTTGGTAATTTATGTAATTCTTACATGAAAAATAATAAATTTAATTAGCAAAGATGATGGAACCAACCGTTATATATAAATTTAGAAATACAAAAGGTACCAAAACGTCAATATATAGAAATATGATAGTATTTTGAGACTGCGAAATACTTCATGTGATAGAGAAAATTGTAAAATTACTAGCCATAGTTTAAAGTAGTATATTTTGTAATTTTATTTAAGTTGTTGACATGGTTCAAAATGATAGTATACATAAATATTCATAGATTCATCTCATTCTAAAAAATTTTAGCTAAAATTTATGTATAATGTTCTATGTGGAATGTTATGATTTTTTCTCTTATCTTCAACTTTATTAAGGGTCACAACGAGTTAGACGTAAATAGTATCTACTTGCTACCTAACTTATAATAAAAAAAGTTCACCCATTACTTGTCATATTATTCATTGAGTATCTATTTAAAAAATATCTATGGAAATTTTAAAATTCAGTTATTCTTGGACACTCATGGTTATTTAAAAGAATATATTTTATAAAATTTGAAAATAAAATTAAAATATTTATTTTTATATATATAATTAAAATTTAATTTTAATGAAATTTAACATAATAAAATATAAATTAATTTTAATTAAATTAAATTTAATAAAATACAAATTTAATTTTAATTTTTTACATATAATAGGGTTAAATATGTTTTTCGTCCCTCAAGTATTACACGATTTTGGTTTTAGTCCCTACTCAAAACTTTGAAGGTTTTTAGTCCTCATAGTTTTGAAACTCTTACTATCAGTCCTTAAAATTGGATGACGTTAACTTTTAGCAGACGTGGCAAACGGCGATGTTACGTTGTATGCCTGCTGCCCTTTTCACACTCTGCCACGTTGGTTGTTTAAGTTTTGAAATGAGATTAAGTATGTTAAGTGTGCATTTGGTTCGTCATCTATTATTTGAGTTCTTCTTCATCAACGCAGTTGGGAGCAACGAAAACTGAGGAGGTAGATCTGAAGGTTGGAGTTCGTCTTCGAAGAGGTAAGTTGATACGTTTTGTTAGCCCTCAGGTACATCACCTCCCCGTTACCTCCATCGCTATTATTATTCATTGGCAAAACACCTGCATCCATTGAAATTGGCTCCACGGCCTTCAGGATTGCCCAGTCTTTCGCTCCACATTCTCTTCTATTGATAAAGCCACACTTTTTACCGTTGCAGTAGGTCCTTCACACGGACTCCTGAAGCAACCTCAAACTCTTCTTTTCTGACTCTTTGTCCTTGTCGCATTCCAGCGCGATTCGGACCAGTCCAGAAGCCATTTCCCGAACCAAACCAGTTATGGATGTTGCAAGCTCGTTGAGGAAATAGGGTTGGGAACTTGGATCCTTCTGGAAGGCGAAGTGGACATGGTCGCGATGGTAGCAGAAGAAGGATATTTCCAGCGACACCTCCTTCATGACAGAGTTTCCGAATTTTATCCAAATTAAAGTAATAGGAGAAATAATTTTCTAACATGGGATGCTGTTTTGATCAACTTAAGTGTATTGAAATACACATTGAAATTGTAATATGAAGCAAAAAGTTGAATTTTTTTCTGTGATATAGACAAAAACACAGAGTTATTGACATATGTTGGGAGCTTAGTCCGTATGGAAAGCATTAGTAGTCAATTTTTTATATGCATGAGATATTTTTGGACATAAATGCAGTGAAACCTTATTTCCGTACGGAACAGTAGACGTTGGCTCTCTATTTCCGTTTTATGACGAAATTGACCTCGTTTTTGCTTTTATGATTTCTTCATTGAGTTGAGTTGCGTGTGTTTCAATTTCAACCAGGGTAATATGTCACTGTCTACTTTACAAATAATCACAGCTGGCATGCTACAGAACCCCAACAGTAATTCAACTCTATATGAGGTTCCCATCATCTTCAAATAAAATACCCACAAATTCAACTCTCGTTACATTCTTTTTTATACATATCACTCTTTTTAATAAATTCTAACATCGTTAATATTAAAATAATGAAAAAGAATGGACTCATTCTTATATAAACAGCGAGACCATATTGAAAAAAATAAATAAATAAGCACCCAACATTTATATATTTTATTTTTATGATTTTAAACACAGTGTTTCAATCATGTAACCTTATCCCTTTATAAATATTAATTTCAACTTCTACAATAACATCTTTAAAATTTTACAAGAAGATAACCCAAATCCAAATTGTTATCAATTTCATTAAAACAACTCCAATCTTCCCTTTGGCCTCGGTTCACGAGTGGTTGGCACCCTCTTCAGGAGTCCGTGTGGAGGACCTACTGCAACGGCAAAAAGTGTGGCTTTGCCACCAGAAGAGAACGTGGAGCGAAAGACTGGAAAATCCTGAAGGCCGTGGAGCCAATTTCAATGGGTGCAGGTGTTTTGCCAATGAGTAATAATAGCGATGGAGGTGACGGGGAGGTGATGTACATGAGGGCTAACAAAACGTATCAACTTACCTCCTCGAAGACGAACTCCAACCTTCATATCTACCTCCTCAGTTTTCTTTGCTCCCAACTGCATAGACGAAGAAGAACCCAAATAATAGATGACGAACCAAATGCACACTTAACATACTTAATCTCATTTCAAAACTTAAACAGCCAACGTGGCAGAGAGTGAAAAGGGTAGCAGGCATACAACGTAACATCGCCGTTAAGTTAACGCTATCCAATTTTAAGGACTGATAGTAAGAATTTCAAAACTATAAGGACTAAAAACCATCAAAGTTTCGAGTAGGGACTAAAACCAAAATCGTGTAATACTTAAGGGACGAAAAACATATTTAACCCCATATAATATTCCCGCAAATCTAATCTACAAATATTCGGATATTTTTATCATCCTTATTTTTTATATATTTTAAAATTTCCATTACACTTTAATAATAAGTTTTTTTATATTGTTCTAGAATTTAACAATTTAATAAAATCAACATGCGAATTTAAATGATCTGATCCGTGTTAAAAAAATGCATGTTGGTGATGTTTTTCTTGACGAGTGACAATTTTTATTGTTTTTTAAAGTAAAACACCTTTTCTTCTTACCTAATATTTATGTTCAATTCAAACACTTTCATTACAAAAATGTTCTCCCAACGTAAGAATGCTGGTTTCAATAATCAAACAGTTGCTCGCGTGTCGGATAAGTTAATCAGGCTAATATTCAACCTTTATAAAGTTTTTGTTCCATAACTTGTATTATTTACAAATTTATTAAAGAAATTGATTATTTTAATAACTTTACGCTGACTTCAGTTATAAATTACGCAAACTAAAACAGTTTTCAAAATTAGAGCAAAAAACAAACTTATTCTATCAAAAGATCAACAACATATCCACATCAAATTATAGAAATAATAAAAAAAGTATGCAACTTATGTCATGCAAATTGACTTCTAAATTAATCCTACCACTGTCTCGCCATAATCCACTTATCACTTTGTCAACCGTGTCCATGAAAACGGTTCTCTGATGAAGCACCAAAACTTCATGGGTGACGAACCCTATTAGGGTTAGTCTTAGCTTCATGCTCCTCCTTTTCATCACAACAAGTGCTCAAACACCAATTTACATGAACAATTGCTGTGACAACTCAACTCTTGTTAGCTCTTCATACAAAGCCAACGTGGACACCCTTTTCTCATGGCTACTCACAGACTCTTACGAAAGCGATGGATACAACTACACCTCTGTAAATAGCAACAACCACAACAATGATGATGCTGTTTATGGATTGTACAGTTGCAGATACGACATCACAGGGTATTTTTGCCGGTTCTGCATCAACAGTGCTTCCAGTGAACTCACTCGAAGGTGTTCCAACAGTGTAGGAGCTATCATATGGTATGACATATGCATCATCCGTTACACAAACCAAAGTTTCAGTGGCCAAGTTAGTTTATCTCCAATATGGAATACTACCGGAACCAGAAAAATCAAGGTAATTTTTCAGTATGGAACATGAAAACTCAGCTTAAGGATGTTTTCTTTTTCTTAACATGATATCAGTGTGAAGTATGCAAGGGTTCTTGAGGTTAAGAAGTCTGATTGTTCACTTTCCGAACTTTTATTCCTTTTAGTTAAGTGCCAAATTCAAAGTTAAAACTTTGAGTAAGAGAGATTTAAGCCTAGCTTCATTCCTACAAATGACTTGCAGTATTATAGTAAATGTAAACAATTATATTCTAAAGTAAACAAAGTTTACTACATATGCTTTAGGATTGAATAACAATTTAAAAAACTTTTATACTGTTCTTAACTGCACATATTTTCCTTTACAATTCAATATTCTATGGTAAATTTTGATCCAAACACAGGACTCATCAGAAGTTAAGAAAACTGAGGATTGTATGGAGGGTTTGATTAGAAAGGCAACGGTATTAATGATTTGGAATATGTAATGTAGATTCTTTACGTTTGGTATCTTTCTATATGTTCTAATTTATTTCAAGCTTTTATCAGGAATTTTACCAGATGGAAGACAAATTGCAGTGAAAAGGCTCTCACAATTTTCTGGTCAGGGTTCACAAGAGTTCAAGAATGAAGTGATGTTTATAGCTAAATTGCAACATCGTAACCTTGTGAGACTTTTGGGGTGCTGTTTGGAGGAAAATGAGAAGATACTTGTATATGAGTATATGTTTAATTCAAGCCTCGACTTTTATCTCTTTGGTGGTATGTTTTACGTATAGTTTTAGTGAATAACGTTTTTCATGAGCGTTTGTAGTTTTTATTCCCAATTAATCATGGCTTACGGAAACCAATCAAGTAGAGGTGCTATTGGCTTTAAAGAATTGATGTGAAATTGATTACAGGGTATATTGTTTATTAGCTTATATGACAAGTGCTGTATGATCTTAATATGTAGTTTTCTTTAAGGATAAGAGCAAGAAATCAACATCATAATAATAATATTACCAGAGAAAGTTGTGGGGCTAAGTTCATTTCTATTCATAATGTGAAATTGAATTCAGGTTATCTTGATGTAGTTAAAAATCATAAGATATCCTTAAGGAAAAAATAAGCAACCTCTTGAAAGTGGTTGAGTCCTTTAAGTGGTTTTTTTTTTCTTTTCATTTCTTTTCTTCATTTTGAGATATCTTCTTTGTTTTGATGCTCTCAGATGAAGAGAAGAGAAAGCAACTTGATTGGAAACTAAGATTAAGCATTATCAATGGAATAGCAAAAGGTATTTTATATCTTCATGAGGACTCTCGACTCAGTAATTCACAGAGATCTCAATGCTAGCATGTTCTATTAGACCCTGAGATGAATCCCAAAATATCAGATTTTGGATTCGCTAGGACCTTTGAAATAGGACACAACCAAACAAAGACAAAACGAGTTGTGGACACCTAGTGAGTGCTACTAATCCAGTTTTAACCATTTCAAAAGCGAAATTGTTATGTACTAACAATTCAATTTATAAGAGGAATAACAAAGTTCTATTGCTTCCTTGCAGTGGATACATGGCTCCAGAATATGCTATGGAAGGATCATTTTCTGTGAAATCGTATGTTTTCAGCTTTGGAGTTATTGTCCTAGAAATCATTTGTGGAAGAAAGAATAGTGGATTCCATCTATCAGAACATGGTCAAAGTCTTCTTATATGTGAGTTTTCTCTCCTATTGTTTAAGGAGTCTCTCAACCATAGAGTTCAACAACATTCACAAATTACATGCAGGCGTGGAGCATATGGTGTGCAAGAAAATGGTTGGAATTGATGGATCCAACACTGATAAAATTATTCAAACATAGTGCAAAATATGCTTTTTATAGCGATGTTTTATACAGGTTAAAATCACCTCGTATAAAAAGTGACGTGGTGGCAGTATCGTAAATAAAGTAAGTTTTTTTATACCTATTCCATTAAGAACAAGTATACAAAATAATGAATAAAATTTTTTATACCGATTGCACTCAAAATAGATATAAAAAACTATTTTTTATGCCTCTTAAACTTGTAATAGGTATAGAAGTAATGTTATGACAAAAATATAATGTTGAAAAACTTTTTCTATACCGATTAGACAATATAACCAGGATAAAAAATTTCATATTCTACCTAAATCCCTTTTCTCAGTTCATTTTCTCTTCTGCATCTTTCTCTCTACGACCCCTTTCTCTCTTCTGGAGCAAGTGTGGTGATGCTCATGATTTAGGATGCATCAGGTTGTGTTCGCGTTTGCTGCTCCGGTGGGTTGTGGTGGCTCCGCAATAGAGATGGGATTAGTTCTAAGAAGCTGTAATAGACGCCGTGGAGTGGTTTACAGAGTCGATCTCCTTTGACAGGCAGTTCTACAAGCAAGACATGAAAGGGAAGCATAGTGCATGCGTCGATGCTAGCTCACTAGGTCAGTCACGAAATCTTTCACTCTTCCAATTTAACGCTCAACGAAACACTCATTGTTCGTTGTTTAGGATTTGATAAGCGCGATCAACAGAGACTCCAGACTCTCCATTCTCGAAGGTTTGGAGGAAATAGAGAGGCGCATTGAGAATGGAGAGTTCAATTGGAGAGCTAACAGAGAGGATGTGCACATGAACATCGATGATCCTGCAAAGAAGCTCCACACCACTCGGAGTAGGAACGATCAGGTTTTGACTAACTTTCGCCTCTAGTGACATGACGCCATCCACAAGATCTTCGTGAGCATGAAGTAGCTTCATGATGTTAGGCTCCTCCGATCGTTGCCTGCTAAATTCATCTGTCACGCTGATGCAAAACCTGTACTAAACCACCCTTCATCTCTCTCGCCCCTTAATTTGCCATTCATTATCCAACATTAAATTTTGATATGTTTTCTCTGCCTACACATTGGATATACGAAGTTGGATAATGAATGGAAAATCAAGGGGAGAGAGGTGAAGGGTTGTTCAGTACAAGTTTCACATCGGCGTGACAGATGAATTTAGCTAGCAGCCCAGAGGATCCTAACATCATCCTGAAGCTGCTTCAAGCTCACATGGATCTTGTCGATGGTGTCGCTACACTAGAGGCGAAAGTCAGTTAAAACTTGATCGTTCCTACTCCGAGCGGTATGGAGCTTATTCGCAAACTCACCGATGTTCATGTGCATGTCCTCTCTGTCAGCTCTCCAATTGAACTCTTCATTCTCAATGCGCCTCTCTATTTCCTCCAAACCTTTGAGAATGGAGTCTCTAGAGTCTCTGTCGCTTGCGCTTATCAAACCCTAAACAAAGAAAATTGAGTGTTTCGATGAGCGTTGAATTGGAAGAGTGAAAGATTTATTGATTGACCTAGTGAGTTAGCATCGACGCATGCTCTATGCTTCCCTTTTATGTCTTGCTTGTAGAGCTTCTTGTCGAAGGAGATGGACTCCGTAAACCTCTCCACGACGTCTGTTACACCTTCCTAGAATTACTTCCATTGTGAGAACCACCGCAACCCACCGGAGTAGCAAACATGAACATAGCTTGATGCATCCCGAATCATGAGCATCGTCACACTTGCTGCAAAAGAGAGAAAGGGATCGTAGAGAGAAAGATACAGAAGAGAAAATGAACCGAGAAAAGGGATTTAGGTAGAATATAAAAAAATTTATCCCAACATGTGTAACCGGTATAGAAAACGTTTTTCAACATTATATTTTAGTCATAGTATACTTCTATACCTATTATAAGTTTAACAAGCATAAAAAAATAATATTTTATACCTATTTTGAGTGCAATCGATATAAAATATTTTTTATTCATTATTTTTTATACTTGTTCTTAATGCAACAAGTATAAAAAACTTATTTTATTTACGATAATGTCATCACATCATTTTTATACCTGGTGGATTTTAACCGTTATTATGAAAAGTTGAAATAAAAAACATATTTGGACTAGTGGATGTATTGTGATAAATAATCCGCTAATACACATTGTGTTATGATTAATATAACTTGTTACACAAACTAAACGGTTAACTCTTCAGTCTATACGTTTAAATAGTTTGTTATATGAGATCTAAGATTTTCTTCTCTTGTTCTTTTATATCTCTCTTTTGATCTTGCAATGTGGGAGATTGTTATAAACGCAAAAGGTATTGCCCCAATGTATGCAAATGCGAAATTTGGAACCTCCTCGTTTTGATGTGTTCCTTGATCCACGGAAATTGCAATTGTTTTCCTCTGCAACTCATGATGGAACATTGGGGTGGGAGGTTAGGTTTTTTAACCTATCTACACCTATAAATAGGTGTTACTGTAGACCTCCGAAAATCATCTTTCACACATCTCTCCAACTCTCATATCGTTTGCTCACTCTTCTCTCTTTTTCCTTTTCTCTTATATCTCTGGTTATTATTCGTTAAGAGTTTATCTTACTTCTTCTGAGTTTCTCGAAAAATCCGTGAAGTTCAGGTTGTATGTTTGAAGACTTACGAAATTTTTGATAAGTTTTTTAAGAGTAGTGAATATAAATTCTCTCAAGAAACTCATTTTTTTCGTGTGGTCATTAACATTTACAACACACATCACCATATTAACTAATGAATTGACGTGGAGAGTTAGTCACTTTGTAATGAAAAAGTCAGTGAAAGTTAATTAGGGACCAAATGAAAAATAGAAAATATTTATTAAGGACGAATATAGACGACAACATTTATGAAAAGACAAACACAAAATTTGGTAATTTATGTAATTTACACGAAAAAAAACTAATTATCAATAACATAGAAATACAAAATGTACAACAAAGTCAAATTAGAAATTAACACCCGAATTTGAATTATCTGATCGGTGCTTAGAAAATGTACGTTGGTGATGTTGTTCTTGACGAGTGACAATTTTTTATTAAAGTAAAACACCCAATACCCATTTATGTATGTTCAATTCAAACATGTTCATTAGAAAAATGTACTCGTCACATAAGAATGTTCATCCAATCAAAACAGTTGCTCCCGTGTCGGAGAAGATAATTAGTTTAATTAGCCTAATTCAAACTTGAAAGGACTTAGTACGACCTGTATTCTTTAAAATTTATTAAAAAAAATGATTATTTTAATAGCATTACACTGACTTCAATTATGATTTACAGTAATGCTTTTTAATAGGTTAAAAAGAAGTATTAACGCATGAAATAATTGTTGTAAAAACTAACATAAATCCGAAAAATTCTTAGGAGCAGCAGAGTTATATTTTAAATATCTTTTAATTTCATTAGATTTGATCGATTTTAAATTTTTTATCTCTTACATTTGAACCTATATTTTTAATTTCTTTCATTCGAAAAAAATTGTTCTAATTCTTTTTATTTTGAAAGAAAAAAAAAACATGTAACATGTACGTCATGGCAAGAATATACAATAGAATCAATCAATTATCATATAATTAAAAATTTACAACTACACATATAAAAGCTAAAATTAAAACAAGGTTTTTCAAGATTAGAGGGAAAAAAAAGAAACTTATCCTATAAGAAGATCAACAACATATCCACATAAATAATAGAAATAATAATAAAATAACGATAAGCAACTTAAGTCACACACATATTGAACTTGTAAATTAATCATCTAGCATTGTTTATGTAAGAACCTAGAAAATAGAGTATTAGAGTAGATATATGTATTAAAGTAATGAGACCGATTATTTTACTTTAAAATAATCTTATAATATAAATAGAATTTTATAAACGCGTCTCATTACTTTAAGAACACTATATCTCTCTAAAACACAATTCC